TTATGGGCTTTATCACCCCTGCCTACATTTATGAAATTTGCGGTTGGTGTGCTTATTATAACTCAGCCATGAACCCTCTGATTTATGCTTTATTTTACCCTTGGTTTAGAAAAGCCATAAAACTTATTTTAAGTGGAGAAATTTTAAAGGGTAGTTCATCAACCATAAGTGTATTTTCAGAATAAGTTTAAGCACTAAGTGAGGAAAGCTAAGGATATTTCAAAATTATGTGCTTATGATGAAATTAAATGTACAACATGAATAAATACAATTTGATCAGTTTCAGTCTCTAGTACTTCAACTTTTCCTTCCCTCCTCTCTCTCCTTGATCTTCTTCCTCTACCCTACTGGTCTCCCTTACATTTCATGAGATACTTTTTTCCATTTGTCTCTCTAGCTTCTAGGTAGGAGATCAAAATAGGAATCTGTAGTCTGGCTTGTTTAGCTTAAGAGGATGCTCTCTAGTTTCATCTTTTCCCCAGAAAATGACATAATTTTGTTGTACTTTATGGCTTAATAAAGTACAACATTATGCATATATACCACATTTTCTTTATCCATCCGTCTGTTGATGGAGACCTAAGTTGGTTCCATAACATGGTGATTGTGAGTTGCTCTGATATAAACATTGGTATGTGAGTATTCCTGCAGGATGTTAGTTTTAATTATAAAGGAAGTCTTTTGTCAAAAGTCCTTGTCTGTTTTCCTCAAAATGAAATGCACTATTAGTACAGTCCCACTCCTCTCTTCTGATCCTCATTTATTCACCCAAATGAGCTGTAAATGTCTTTGACAACTGCAAATCTAGTCACTGCACAGCCATGGACACGCTGAAGTTGGAAAGCAACTTCACTCTGAAGGACTCTTCAAAATAACATCTGACCTTGAGACAAATTACTGAGCTAGGTATCTCAATCTTGGTAAGCTTTGGTTCCCAAGTTGTTTGCCTCAGCCAATGGGGGGCTGCAGAACTGTTGCAAAGAGGTAATTAATCCTCTTTTGTCTGTGGTGAAGCTATAGAAATGCCGTGCCTCTCACATATATGTACTATTATTAAAAATACAAGATTGTTGTGGTTAATAAAAGATAAATCTATTTAAAGCCTTTCTTAATTCATAACAGGTTTTATCCACGTGTTTTTTTTTAATTAGTTGGTACTAAAAGAACAATTAGTACACCATGTGGAACTCTGTGTGTTTTTATAAATTTTTGAAATGAAGTACTGGAGTTACAGAGTAATTACTATAGTTTTCCCCTAAGGATTAGGACAACTTTACCAATTATTTAGTGGTAAAGGTGTGAATAACCCATCAATGACAAGTTATAAATACAGAATAGGGGGCTGGGTATTTACCTAAGTGGTGGAATGTTTGCTTAGTTTATGTGAGGCCTTGGATGCCAACCCCAGCATAGAAAAAAATAAAAACAGAAACAACCCAACAACAACAACAAAAATACTCTATAAATCATCATTAAAATCCAGGTTCTTTCAGAGAGCTACCAAGGTGGCTGTTCTTTGTTTGTTTCAAAATACCATTTTTTTTGGTGCATTATAATTATACATTACAGTTAGATTCGTCCTTACAAATTTGTAGACACACAATTTAACAATATAAATTAGCCACTTTTGTTCCCCAATACCACTCCTGATTTGGTATTATTGATGACCTAGTAGGTGATTAACCGGATTTTATGAGCTCAGGATGTTTTCACAACCTGTGAACATACTGTACTTGTTTTGATTTAGCTATCAGGCTTTTGACTTATATCACATTCTTCATTGTTGACCGACTGTAGCCCATTTAAATTTAAAGGTCAGTCTTAAAGAATGAAATTTCAGCTTTGCATTTGTATTCAAAAAAAGCAGAGACATGTTAGTAATACGCTTTTTAAAAATCAAATTATTTGACATGAGTATTAAATGAAAATTTTATGCCTATGGATGCCTAGAAAATCTTTTCTTTTACAGTAACATTTTCCTTCAATTTTATGATCTATTTTAAAATAAATTGTATTGTGGATATTTGAAGTAGATGTTATAATGATATGGGATCTATAAGCATAGTGACATTGTTATTGAAGTGATATAAATTATGTTACATAGCTACTTTGTTGTTACAAGAACCACTAAAATTTATGAATTTTAACAGAAGACCCTATTATAATAGAATTTGATGAATGATACTTCTCTTGCAAGGTAGATCTCTGGACTTGTTTATGCTATGGTTTTTCTTCTTTGCATTATTTGTCCTACATTTCTCATTACTTCCCCTCTCCATATACTGAATTTGAAAATTAATTATGTTGCAGTACATAAGCAACAATTTTGAAACATTTTTACCTATACACAGGTACATTTCTGTACTTTATAAATCATAATCTGAGGTTAACTGAAAATGCTGCATTATTGTATTTTTATTCCCAGAATGTCTTTATTCATTATTTCAATGCCTAGCATAGTGCCTTGCACTTTTTAAGTCTATAAGGCTATGTTTAAATTAAATTAAGTATCAGTGCTTTATATGCACCTGTCAAATAATGATCGATTAGACTTTTACATTAAAAAACTCTACTAATTTATTCTTTATTTGGTTTCCTAAATTATAAAATGTTTAATAGTCAGTTCTTATAAAAATTCCAGCTGTAGCTTACTGATAGGTTTTATTTAAGGTAATTTTTTACTTTCTAAGAAAAAAAATGTTAGATCACATAAACTTTTCTAATGTTGGGTCTCCTTATTTGAAGTGTGAATACATGAGGGGCCCCTTGGAGATTTACTGTGAGGATTATACATGGAAAGCTTCAAAAAACTAGGCTTTTTGAAAAGCAGCACCTTCTTTCATCTGCAAGGGCTGTGCATGATGGAAAGATTCACAGTAACAATCCAAAGGCAGGCTACCTGGATTTGAGTCCCATCTCCACCACCCACTAGCTTCTACCTTGGAAAGTTACTTACCTTTTGTGTATTTTAGTCGCTCACCCATAAAATGGAGATGATAATGAAACATTCTCTTTGAGGTTTTAATGTAACAATTACCATAATGCAAAATGAAGCCATAAATTTTGGCTGAAGACCAAAGTGCCAATAGACAAACCACTACTACATGTTCTTTATTTCATGATTTATAAATGTTTTCAGTGAAAATACTTTTATAAGGATGTTTTATTTGAGAAACTTTCAAAACATTACCTTGTTAAGATTGATTTTCATAGTTATGTAATTCTGTTAGTCAAATGGACAATGTGAGTATTGTATACAATGTTGGAGAATATTTTCTTTGATAATAAGAAATAAAAACTGGGCTGGGGTTACAATTCAGTGGTAGAGTGATTGTCTACCTAGTGTGAGTTACTGGGTTCAATTCTCAGCACCACATATAAATATATAAAATAAAAGTCTATTGACAACTAAAAAAAAATTAAAAAGTAATCAGAGCTAAAGAGGATAAGCTACAAGGTTCTGTTGAAAAGCCTCTTGACTGATTCAGACAATGATGAGTTCAGAATTCATAGAGAAGTAAAATGTAACTACAAATTCCATGAGAGATAGCATAAATCCAAATATACATATTAAAGATAATATGTATCTACATAAATGAAATGATATTTGTATAAACTGGCTATTATACATTTCTATTATGTTGTTTTTAAGATTAACATCTTGTTTTTCTTATTAATATTAATTTAAAGAGTTATTTATTTTTATCATTACTATTTGCACTAGTAGGAATTGAACCTCGTGGCTCTCTACCACCAAGATACAGCTGCAGCCCCTTGCCCCATTTTTTTCAAGACAGGATCTTGCTAAGTTATTGAGGCTGGTTTTGAGAGGCTGCCTAATTCTCCCAAATTGCTGGGATTATAGGCATGCAACTACATGCCCAGCTCAACTAAAGAAATTGTTAATGAGGAGTTAAACTTTGAAGAGATTTCATGTACTAAATTTTGGAGCTGAGATATTGAGACCTAAGTCTGTATTCAAAATCAATGTGTTACTGACATTGTGAACCAGTTAGAAAAACCAATATTTCCAGAAAAAAAATAGACTATTCTTCATAGGAATTGACATTTATGCTTTATTCTGTTCAAACACACACCATGTATAGACACACACACACACACACACACACACACACACACACACCACATACACACATGAGCCATATGGCAGTATATCATAATTTCCCAAGGATAATACTAAGCTAAGCATTATAGCCCATATCAAAGATAAGAATATATAAGGTCCCTCTAAGGATTCATGCTAGTTAAATTTGTGAAGTGGGCCAAGCCACTTGGGAGTCTTCTACCTGTCCATTCTTTACATTCTACTCTCTCCTAGGAGCTTCCCTTCATTCCAGGTAGTGAGCAACCTGTTTGTACTATATCCTTTCTCACCAGTGATATGAGCTGCTAATTTTCTACATGAATAAAATTAACAAAAAAAAAGAAAAAAATATTGTGATAAGATGTACCATTCTCAGAGGGTTTCTCTCCTGAACTGGTAATGGATAAAACTAGAAGAGAAATTGTAAGAGACATTCAAAGAGAATTAATATAGAGAATAAAATACTAGGAGTGAAATTTTAGGAAGGCAAGATTTATTCTCATGGGACAACTTCCTAGTACCTTTCATTAATACCAATAGTGAAAGTGAAGTTCCATCTCTAGGAAAATTTTCCCTCTCTACACTGTTTCAAGGCCAATGCTGAGCATGTTTGCAATGAAATTGCTGTCCATTTTTGGCTTGCATACACAGAATGAGACAGTTCACTTGTGAACTAAGCTCTTTGGATAGGTGAAGTGTGATGGAGGAGCGTTGGTGCAGTTGTGATAGATAACATGATCTCTGGGCTCATGTAGCTTTTGTGTGTTTCCTATCCTTGCTCACATTTGGTCTCAGTTGTATCATTTCCATGAGAGGATCCAAGAAGATTTCACTGAAAATGGGCAGTTTCAGACACAATCACTTGATGTCATATGGTCAAGTATTCAATCACACCTGGGGTTAGTAGCACACCAAGAATCACCTTTCAAAAGATGTTTTATCCTTCACTGCAAATAGCCTGGCCTTGTTCTAGAACTCTAGAGAATGGCATTAGGTTTTGCCAGTGGAGCCTCCCATAACAACTACACTGAAACTTTTTCTGCAACTAACAACTATTGCACCACAAAATGATCAATTTGC